GAGAGACTCCTGATTCCAGAGAGAACTTTTTTCCAATTAGCACCTCTGTCCTTTTGATCTTCATTCTGTACTCCATGCCTTCACTTGCCCAACCCTTTCCTCCATCTTTTTTTTTCTGCACCTTTGCCTCTCTGTACTTTTTCTTTCTCACACTTGCTGTTTCTTATATTTCCCAGACCACTTCTCAGTGCTCCACATTCCCCCATCCATGTAAACAGATGGGCGAAGGGGAAGTCAGTGGCATCATAAGCATGTTTTTTTAAGTGGTTGCAAGCTGCAATGGTGACATTAGGTTATAAAGACCAACTAACATTGGTGCAAGTAGGACCCTAAAGAGATGTTTTCCTTGAGTAAAGTTGTATACAGTCAGAATCAGCTTGTGCTTGCACAGAGTCTAACACATTTGGGGCACCTATACACATACATCGGTGCTTCTCCGATGCACTGTAATTACAATGTGTCAGAATAGGCTCCATTAATTGAGTCTGCTGGAGCATGGTAATTATTGTGTTCCAGCAGACTCCAGCGTCACATATATCAGCGTCTCTGCACTGAAAAATGGTGGCGGGGGTGCTTTAAATAAAGCTTGTTCAATGAGCTTTAGTTAAAGCACCCCGCTGTCATTTTTCAGTGTGGGGATGCTGATACATGTAATGCTCTGGGCGCTTTAATTAGAGCAGCTCTTAGAACTGTTCTAATTAAAGTGCCCTGATCCCAAACTCAGCTGGAGTATGAAGTACTATAGGAACATAAATGATGATAAAAGGCAGAGCAATTCTAGGAGTCAGCCCTTGACTCTGGAATTTACTTTTCTCAGTATACTGACCAAGCTTTAGATTATTGGCCGTCAGGTCCTATAACATATTATATATTTATTCAGCTTTTTGCTTGAGGGAGAATAATTATTTACTGCTAACAGAAGCTACATAGCTACAGAGTCTACATTTTGTTAAAAAAATGCTTGCATCTAAGGTTTTATACATAAATACTAGGGCTGTGTGAAATTTCACTGAATGTTTTGTTTTGAAGCTATCTCAATGCATTTTGAGCTTGAAACAGCAAAATGGATACAAAACAAAAAGCTTCAAAACAGCTTTGAAATGAAATTAGGGCACTCAAAATGTTTAGAAAATTTAGAAACATTTTGAGTTTTGAAGCAGCCTGGTGGTGGGAGGCAGGAGAGAGCCAGGGCTATGCTCCAAGCAGCTCTGCAGCCCCATGGAGCTCAGCCTGGCAGCAGGAGGCTGAGCACAGCCCTGGCTTTGCCCGCGTCCCGCCACCAGGCTGGGCTCCATGGGGCTGCAGAGCTGGTGGGAGTGCAGCCCAGTGGCAGGAGGCGGGGAGAGCCAGGGCTGCACTCTGCCTCCCACTGCCGAGGCGTGCAGCTGAGCTCCATGGGGCTGCGGAGCTGCTTGGAGCGCAGCCCTAGCTCTCACCTGCCTCCCATCACCTGGCCAGATGGCAAGAGGCTGCCGCTGCTGCCTGGGGCCAGCGGCAACATCAGTCTTCCCCAGCACTGAGTGTGAGCTGCGCCCAGTGCTGGTCCCAGCTGGCAGCAGAAGCCTCCTGTTGTCTGACGCAGATCTGGGGTCCTGCACCCCCGGGAGGAGTCTGGTACAGCCCCACAGCCCTCCTGGAGGTGTGGGCCCCTGGATCTGTGTGCTGGATGACAGGTGGCTGCCGCTGCTGGCATGTGTCACAAGTTTTGCTTTTTGCAGTTTGAGGTGCAGTTTCTGAGAAACCCTTGCACCTATCTTCTTGAAGCCTGCCAAGTTTCATGCCCTCAGAAGGGACTACCATCTCTGTAATTTTCATCCAAATCAGGCAAGAAATGACCACGTTTTAAGCATTTTCCTGATTCCCCATTATAGCCTATGGACAAAATGTCGAAACATGTTGAAACAGTTTTGATAAAACAAAACAATGAAATGAAACACTGTCCCTTTGAAATGGCAAAACAGACGTCAAAATGAAATGAGGTGTTTTGCACAGCCCTAATTAATATTTATACAATTAGCAGGACCATCACAGGTCTTTCATAAGTAACTTTACAGTTATGTAAAGTAGGATCTTAGTGCTGCTTTTAGCGATTAGGATATAATATTTGATTGTTAAGCTCTTGTTGAAACAATATTTAATACATGCAAATCTTCAAATCTGAATTAATTTCTTTAAATCAGGGGTTCTCAAACTTTGTGATACTGCAACCCCGTAAGATAATATATAAATTTACATGACCCACCATGATTAAAGCTTTTGATTTCATTAGGATTTGGTAGGGGATAAATTAAATATATTTGTCAAAAACCCTTTATAAAGTTTATCCAATTCAAAACTGTTTCACTGAAAAAAAACAAAAAACTGTCAAATTTAAAACTGTCAATAGTTTTCAATGAGAAAGTTAAGCTTGCTTGGTACTGCTTAATTTTTCAAACCTGGGCAAGTCTCATTTCGCGCTCCACATTTATTTCTGATCGGTATTTGCTCTTTATAGCCTCAATTGCTGAAAAAACTCACACTCAATCACATGCAGTCAATCGAACTGTTGACAGATAAATACTGAGCTTCACTAACCCATACATGCCAAGATTAGGAAACAAAAGAGAGACTTCCGATGTGGGTGAGTCCAAGAAGACGTGCATTGCCACCGGGGAAGGGAAGCGGGCAGAGCGTTTGTGTGTTGGGGAAGGAAGAGAAGTTTAAGTTGCTCGCGACCCACAGTTTGAGAACCCCTGCTTCCAATTATTTAGAGTGTCTGAAGTACTTCAGACATTTTACATGTCTAGTCACTTCTGACATGATTCCCACATCTTCCTTTGATATTGGTGCAGAGGCGGGCAATGATTTCGGGTGAAGGGCCGCTGACTGAGTTTTGGTAAGGTATCGAGGGTTGTATGACAGGCAGCCAGGGGCAGATAAATATTCACCTTTAAAAATTTTTATGGGCCCTGTGGGCCAGATAGAATGACCTGGCGGGCTGCAGTTTGCCCACCCCTGTATTGGTGCCTACTTAAGACAAAGATGGGAACTGTAGAAAGAGATTAAAAAACATAGCCAGGTGAATGGCACCTAACTAAGCTAGCTAGAAAATAAGATACATCTTTCAGTCTATATCAATTTGAATTAGGCTGGCATTTGTATTGCCCTGTCTACTCATTTCCAGTACTTAGCTATACCTTATTGTTTTATTATTTTATCTCATAGTTTCATAGTAGCTGGGGTCAGGAGGGACCTGAACAGATCATCTAGCCTGACCCCCTGCCACAGGCAGGAATGAATGGTGGGTTCACAAGACCCCAGACAGGTGATCATCTAACCTCCCAAGGTGCAGCACCCTGCTTTTGTCTACGTTGAACCCCATCCTATTCTCATCTGCCCACTTTTGTAGTCTGTCTAAATCTAGTTGCAGCCTCTCTCTCCCTTCAAGTGTGCCCACCTCGCCCCACATCGTAGTGTCATCAGCAGACTTGGACAATGTGCTTTCAATCCCCTCGTCCAAGTCGCTGATGAAGATGTTAAACAGTGCAGGCACAAGGACTGAGCCCCGGGGGACCCCACTGCTCAGATCTCACCAGGTTGAGTACGACCTGTCCACCGCTACTCTCTGGGTGTGCCCCATCAGCCAGTTTTTTTACCCATCCAACTGTGTAGGCATCAATGCCACAGTCACTTAATTTGTTAATGAGAATGGGGTGAGAGACAGTGTCAAAGGCCTTCTTAAATTCTTGAAGGAATATGTCCACTATCTGTTTTTATGACTTTGTTATTATAAGCCACCCTGAGCTTTTTGGGACAAATAGCATAGATATCAAATAAATAAATAAATAAATTAACAAATCCAGTTCCATTTAGTGATTCCATATAGAAGCTCCTCCTTCAGAAATAATTTAAAAAACATAGGCATTGAACACACGACTAACTTGAAAAATAAACAACAGCCACAAGCTCTTTATTTTTATAGCCAATCCTTGACAGTTCTGTCTCCTACCTATGGGTTCTCCTTCACTATGCAATTTTCACTGTGTAATCTTTTGTGAAGAAGTCCTCTAGAAGTTAATATGCTTTTGTTGCAATGATAGTATAAAGAACCTTATAGAACTTAAAAGCTAATGATAATTGAAAAACTTTCAATAGGTTTTATGGGGCCATTTTATAGTGAGACAATTATTCTCTATTAAAAAGCTGTAACATGGTTTAAAAAATCTTGTAGAATGGACTCTCCTTTATATTCTAAGAGCTTCTCAATAACAGATTATATTAAGAGAATACTCTCTGGGATAGGTAAAATACTACATACACCCAAGGTGTTATATAAATGATTGATAAGACACAATCATTTGCATTTTGTTATTTTGCCTTTGGAAATGATCTGTTGTTATATTACAGAAAAGAATTTGACCTCATCTTATGGAGAATGTTATGTGAATAGAGCCAGGTGCTCACCTGAAAATAGCATGGTATCCGGGCAGATTCAGCAGAGCCATAGTTGTCAGGATGTTTCTAAAAAAAATGTCATTCTGAAGGGTGTCTTTTAAAAAGAAAATTATAGATAAAGTTCACGTTGGCAGTAATTTAATGGCCCCAATTATTTGGTCCAGCTGTGCCCATTCTACTTCTGGCATAAATCAGAGCGGCAAATAGGCTGTTCTAATTCATGACAGCTGTCAACAGTCTCCCAAAGACTATGGCAACAGTCAGGCACAGAGACACTCTGCCACGTATGCCCGATAGTCTAGGCACTACCTGATGTTGGGAGCTCATGCTGGTGGCTTTTTGCCATTGAACGATCATCTACACAGGAAAACATCAAAAGGCTATATTGTGTGACTGGAGCTGTGCAAAGGTAGACCCATTGCCTTTAGAATGGCTTAGAACTGCTTAAACTTTGCACTGTAGTACAATAACAGGCTTGTTGTGCTTGCATTTGCTGGTCTCTGCACCTGGATGGGTTAAAAATGCTCTGTGAATGATAAGGTATTGCAAACCAAGTTCACTCATTCAAGCATGCAGATGTTTTATTTAAGTATTCCTCAGATGTCCATTTATTCAGCATAATACATATATTATGCTGCCTTCTGAAACACAATATATGAATTTCAAACAAAATTGTCCAAAACAACAACCTTGGTTTTTTTGTATGATACACAGAAATAATTACATTTAATTTACAGTACAGATGCATTTACACAGTCATCAACAGTCATTCACTACCAAAACAGTATTTAAATCACCTAAAACACCAAAAGAATGTTTATTTTTCAAATTCAGAATAAATTAACAATTTTGCATAAGTGATAGATGGAAATAAGAGACTAGACTGGCATTCTGGAAAAGCTCGACAAATTATTCCTTAAACCGTATTTTAACCATGAGGATAAAAGTAATCGGGGGTGTCATCCTTATACAAGTATTGCTATATTGCATTTTCTTTAGGTCATCTGAACAATGAAATCAAGAGGCCAAATTCTTTAGCCCTGTGCAACCTCAGTGAGGCCAATGAGATTGAACAGGATATGTAACTCAGTGCAGATCTTGTTCCAAATGGTTTTCAGTAACTGCCACCTTATATTAGTTTCCTGATGAAAGTTGTCAAGAAGCACCATGTGACATAAAGGAGAAGCTGTTGTAGATTGTTAATATCAGGGCAGTTTTCATACAGTAATTGCCTCAACAGAGGCTAGGCACAAAGCCAGTCTTTTAAACACGTAATTATGAGTAGAAAAAAGAAGCAAGTAAAATCTCTGGGCTAGACTTATTTCAGTCTTACACTACAGTTAAACTAGAGGAACTCTGTTGGCTTCAAAGGATTTACCCCAGTTCTACAAGAGAGCAGAAGAGATGTTCAAAATAATTGACTTCAATAGTTATTGGAGCCATTCACTGTTGTAAGAGGAGAATCCAGCACCAGTGAGATGCTGAATTCTTTACAAGAAATGTACAAGATCTGATTCCATTTTCAAATAATGGAATCTTGCTAATTTGCACAAATGAATAGGAAATTCATTGCCATTTAATCCATGTTATGGATAAGTCAACAAATGATATGAAAACAAGAATAATGCATCACAAAATGTACTGTTTTTATTTTGTCAGCTGTAATTTAGCTTTAATGTATGATAATAATAATTTATTAGTAAACATACGCTAGCATATTTGGTAGAAATATCAGGCTCTATTACAACATCTTGCTGGCCTTCCCTACCTAAATCTGCAGAGTAAGGAATATCTAGATTATTGAGGTTCTACTTTCACAGTATATTTCTTCTTAATGTAAATGTTGAGATGATAGTAACTGGTACTGTAGTGTATGAAACATACAGTATTTATATTAACAGCATTTCATTTTTACTAGAGGCAAGGATTTTTGATAGGTGATATCTTTTATTGGACTAACTGCATGTTTGGGATAGATGTAGACAAGTTTCTGGATAATACAGTACCCTTCCTCAGGAGACGTGAGGATGTTGTAGCAGTATTCCTCATGTCTCCTGATGCAGGGTACTGTAGTACCCAAAAGGAAGCCTTTTTTAACTATTCAGCTGGTCCAATAAAAGAAATCGCCCTCAAATCCTTGCCTCCTGCATATTTCCTGGACAATCACAACTATAACATCACTACAACTTAACTGCTTCTGATAACTTTCTCTAATACACCGAGTTTTTTGATTAGTATGTCCAATTTTTTTTGTATGGAGATGTGCATTAATTTCTACTTACACAGTATTTTTTTGTACATGAACTACTAGGTGCTTCTAGGAGCAAAATCCAGGGGACAATCCCAGATGTTCCACAGACCTCTGAAACCAGAAGTATTCACTATTTGTGATTCTGATTAGTCTATTTGCCTTAGCACAGTGCTGCAGGTGGGCAAGTTAGCTGGACACTACCCCTGAATCAGAAGCAGTATAACCCTGTTCAGGTGGCACTGTGCTCAAGCTAATTAGCTCTGCCTTTTTAGCAGAGCTAGGTAGTATAGCCATGTTCTCCTGGCATTGTGCGTGGGCAAATTAGATCTCCTGAGGCAGAGCCCACAGCTGTCTCCCGGACCAAATCAGTGGAGATCTCTTCACACGGTGCCAGGCAGTATGTTCTGTGTCTTCTTGGTAGATACAACAGGATTCTGTGTGTCACCACACAAATGCTTGGGGTTGAAGAGGCGTGATTGCCAACCTGGAATCAATTTTTCAGATTTGGGACCAAAATCCTGTCTCAGGAAATCTTTGGTGACACTGGGAGACAGCCCCACAATTCAGGACGGTTGGATGCTTGATATATAGACAGCATTTTCAAGATGTAAACCTCTTAAGGACATTCTTTTATTCCAGCTAATAAACCTGCTCTTAGGAGAAACCTTAGTGGCGAGAAAATTGAGATTTCCTTAAGAAGTGAAGCATGAGGGCCTTATCAACTTGTGAATTCTATCAATTAATGGGCCTTATCTTGCATCAAAATTCCCACTGAAATCCATTACAGTTGTGCAGAATTGGGCCCCAAATCTGTTTTTATCAGTATGTCTCAGGAGAGAAAATATCATTACAAGTTATAAAGCCAAAAAGAAATGTTAGGATGCAGATTTACAGGTAATGACTATAAGAACAGTTTCCACAAACAGTTTTCACTAAATGTCTTCCAATGCTCAGCATATCTAATCCCCTGGATACTGCAGAATAACAGAGGTTTAGAGATAAGTGTTAGTTTGTCACAAAACCGTCTTTGTTTTAGTTTAATTTCAGATGGGATTGGCATTGTAACACTACACTAGTAAAACTATTGTTCAGGAAATACAAAAGTAAGGAAGCATTTGCAGAACAAAAGACTACGCCAATTCATGAAAAGCCTTGAAATTCCAAAGAAGATAGTAATGTTTGAACAGATAATGTACTGTCACAGAGTACTGGGGACAGAAGGAAGCATGATTGAAAAGTACATTTGTGGTGCACAGTTTTGGTTACAAGACCATTTAAAATGTTGCCATAGAGAAAATATTTTCTATTGGTGTAGTTTATAGTCTAGATGAATTCTTATAAAATACCTAAAAGAAAAAAAAAATCCTGATTCCTGATACAACAGGTGTACAATGAATTATTGCAGTTGTAACAGTACCTAGGAAGCCAGAGAAAACGAGAATAAATACTGAACTAACTGAACACCTTGAGTTCACTAATGAGTGTCTGAATAAGAAATACTGCAGTTTTCAAAGGGAAGTTATTTGTACAACTACCATGGAACATTAACAATCAGCTTGTTGCAAGTGCACAGAAATGCCCCTGTCTACAGTAATATTTTTCATGCCTAATTTGAAAAAACAACATAAGTAAACCGAGATCACAGCTCCAAATAATTTCAGCATGCATTATGGTTGTATTTCTTTCAATCAGGACAAACTTATTTCATATGAGCTTTTTCTTTTTTTTTTTTTTTCTTTTTTTTTCTTTTTTCTTTTTTTTTAAACAGTCTTGACAAGTTTATGGTTTAATAACAGGAAAAAAGACATGTTATCAAAATGCTTTTCATTGTTGTTTTGCATTCAGCTGGAACATAATGTCCAACCTTTTTTTAATTTTATTTTTTCTTTAAAAAAGAGCTCTTATGGTAAGAAGAAGCATCAATGGGGGACATTTCATTGTGCTCATAGTTAAGTCAAAATTTTGCTGTGTAACAGTTCAAATGACATGTAAAAACTCCATTTGGTTGCCTGGTTCACATGCCACAGCACTGAAACCCAAATTGTTTCGTTTCTCCTGAACCTCTCGCTCTGTTGTTGCTGTAACCCCTACCAAGGGCGTGTTGCCTTTTCCAGCTTTGTTTCTCCAGAACTATTTTTTTTCCTGCTAGAACTCAGCCTCCAAGCGTCTATTCTATTTGTTTTATAAAGCAGATACTCTGACAATGTTTCCTCCTGAATATTCGGGAGATTGTGGCCTATGATCCCCTTCGGGTGTGGTGACTGGGGGTGTTGGGATGCTGATTATTGCTGTGGTGACATAAGGCTGCTCACAGTTTAGTTTAACGCACTCTTCCACTTTGGCATTTAAACTGGATCGACTAAAGAGAGAGAGAGAGAGAGAGAGAGAGAGAAAATAATTAAAAAAATGTCGATACTGTTGAAAACTTTTAAGTTCCATTACCCCAACCGACCAGCTTAATGCCCATTAAGTCAGTAGGCAGGGGAAACATAAATATGCTGCAAACAAGGCTTCTGCCTCTTTAATTAGCAGGGCATGCAGCTCGGGAAGAAATGTCTGAGTCTCTAAACAGTATTCTAATATTATTTAGCTCACTAATAATACACAGACTCAAACAGCCTCATAAAGGAACTTAAAACTGAATTTGCAAAATAAGAATGTGGAAGCTAGCCCAGAGGGACAAAGTCACCTGCTTGAAGTCAAACAGCAGGTCAGTGGCAGCCAGGAGTGCCCCTTGGGTTTCCTGGCTCCCAAAGCTATCCAACAGAACATGTGCCTTCCTTGTGACTGATCTAGCATGGCTTGAGCACCCACCACCAATATCCTCTACTACTGAGGGGCTAAAACCAGCAGAGCTTTTTACAGATGGATCCCATTTGTAATTCCCTTGCTGTCTCTAAAGAGAGAAGTAAGCAAAAATACAGGTCTGGGTAGGCTGGGGAATACAACTGCTGAGTTTTATGAACCCATAAGGTATCTGTTGTTTGGAAAGAGACAAAGGAGGCGGGATTCTTTAGCATGGGGCACTTCTCAACATGGCTATAAGTAACTGGTCACTTGACTGGAAAATCATGACCCACACTATAAGACTTGAGATAAATACAAATGGTAGCTTGGCTGATAACAAGGAAGGGATAAAATCCCCTTTCTGGCTCCAGGGCTTAGTACAAAGAATTTGCATTATAGCTTCATGAGCTGTAATGGGAGCCAACCTCCTGAACACCCTCTGAGCTTAAAGCTGGGCAGTTGCTCCACTGGCCATGCCCTTGGGCCTTCCTCCACTGTCACACTCCTAAATTGCGGTGCACAAGAGGAAACAGAGCCCTCCCTCCCCACTTTAACCTTTGTTGCATGGCCTAGATGAGTCACTTAAGCATTCCCCCACATGACCCAAACACTACCTGCTTCTCTCTGATGGACTCAAACTGCAGAATGCAAGGAAAGGTTTGGGGAGAGATGATGCCAGGACTTGTACAAAACGGTAAGAGAGGAATAGTCTCAGTCCTATTCTTATCCCACTAGATCATGTTCCAGGGTCAACATGCTATGGAGGGACTGGCTGGGGCACAAGGGTACAACAATGTGGGGCTAGCCAGCAGGCAGCCCCTGTACTGAAGCACCCAAGTGTCCCTACCAGGCCCATCAGTGTGTACACATGCATTGCTGTGCACTAAAGAACTCCACCATAGGATAGTACTTGTATTACAAGTACTAACTTATGGCAGAGTAAATTAGTTTCCTGCAGCCTAATAGGGCTATACATGTAGATGCTGAGATTTTACTCAGAACTAATTAGGCAGCTCTACAGTAAACGTCTTATGTACATGTGCCCATTAAGTGTGAGATTTACTCCCATATCCTCATCTGTAAATTATTCTTATATGTTTGCGCTATGACTGGAAAGATATGAAAAAAGTCCCCCAGTGGAGAAAGGCTGTATTGAGATAGAATTAAGCCTGAAGGCTGAGGGTATGGATGCTGTTCCTGCAGTGGTCGGGTCACTCCACTGAAGAATAGCAAAAAGAAATGTACCCCACCTGCAATTAAGCAAACTTCTGAGCTGCTCCTGGAAGTGAATTCCCCACCTGACAGTTATTCACAAGTTCACTTAACAAGACAATCCCTATAGCAACCTATGCTGGAAAAAGATTATTTTTAAAATGGAAGTATGTAATTCAGCTTCAACATACTTTTACATCTAGTAAGACCTTCACAATGTTTTCTAAAGCTGTGCCCATATATGTAAACATTAGAGCCAAGGGTTTCGTTTGTGCGGGTGCAAGAAAGTTAAATAAATTCCTTCCTACCCTTTTCTCCGGCATTTATTTATTTATTTTTAATAACTCTCCTACCCAGGGAACATATTTTTCTTATTCACTAGGCATTCATAGAAAGGAATGACACCCTTATGACTAGGGCACAACCTGGGACACAGCATATTTGTTTTCAATTCTCAATTCTGCCACAGATTCCCTGAGGGAACTCGGGGAATTCACAATCTTCCTGTCTCTTTATATTCTGTCTATAAAGTGAGCCTAGTATTCCTTTTCTCCCACCCCTTGTCTGCCACATGTGAATTGTAGACTCTTCCAGTAAATATTGTCTCTTAGTATGTTTGTACAGGGCCTACAATAATTGAGCCTCAATTTCAGCTGGTGACCCCTAGGTACTACTTCAATACATATATCTATTACAATATTTTTAAATTTTTTTTGTGGTTTGCATTTTTATTTGTTCAACATTAACCAAACCCCAGTGGAAGACACTGGTGCACAGACACTGGTTTCAGGGTCCCCATTTTTGGGCAAATGATTTACCTTGGCCTGCTCCTTGATCTTACCCACCTGGGACACAGCCTTACCTTAATGAACAAAGGTTAGCCAAAGAACCACCTCTCAAATCACAGTTAAAATTTAGATACCTGTTAGATAGAGGTGTTCGATCCATACATCTGATCTGGATAGTGCTGAGTTCTTGTACGCTTCCTTGACGGCTGCCGGTTACATTGGTGTTTGGGATACGGAATGTCTTTTTATGTCGGCGTGAGCAGCAAGTGCTGGTAACCCCTTGTTGAGAAGAGAGAGAAGGACTGTGGCTTGAGGGTCGATTGACTGTGGAAACCTCCATACAGCTTTCTTCATAGGCTTGTTCATCCACAAATTCATGATTCTGGTCCACAGCAATTCAAAATGTGGCAAAAGCGTATGCACAGAAACACAACCACACAAACACAGTATGATTAGCACTGAGAATATTATTCTGATCAACAAGCCCTCCCATATCAGGACATGCTTAAAGGATTAATTTAACATGATCAATGAGTCTGGGAAAGTGAGAGGATGAAGTCTAGATTACAGTTTTCAATCTGTATCAGCCTGGGCTGAATATATACTAAAACTGTAAATGAAGAGTCAAAATGATCAAACTAGGAACTTATTGAGTTATCAGCAATACAAAATCATTTGCCAGAACATAAATCCTTATTCAGATGGTCATAAAAGGTATAATCCTAACAATAAAAATATAGTGATATTCTGTAGGTTTCTTTTTTTTTTATTCTACTTCTGTAAATGCTCTAAGTGACATTTGTAAAACAAAGAAATCCACACTTCTATTTTAAATATAGTAAAATAATGCTGATTTTGATTTTGGTACCAGTATGTGATGCTCCATTGGATATACATATGAGAAATTATGACTCAAAATGTATTTCAAGATACAGGAATAAATCTACATTTATCAAAAAGTGAGTCAGAAGCTAAAAGAAATACCAAACATTCCATAGAAAAATTATCTTGGCTAAACATCATGGATCAGTTTATTTTAATCGGTTTAGAAAATAAAAATTTAATTGAATAAAATTAGTCTTTATTCATAGGATCTTTACTTAGACAGCAAGGTATAGGCTGATTATGATCAGTGTCACAGAAAATCCAACTAATACCCATTTTTACTTTGATTCATTTTGATTCACTCATATAAAGATTTCAAATCTGTATTCATAATATTATGATATTCAGTTTCTCACTGTTTCAAGAAGAGTGACTTGATGTCACAGCTTTCAACAAAAGCAACATATATAAAAATGCATGCAGTAGTCTTAAGGTAGCAGCCCAAGACTAAATGGAAACAAAATGCTGTACACCGAGACAATTGCTGTTTTCACATTTGCAGCTGTTGGTGGAAAAACTGTTTATTTTGAAAATGGTTTGGGAAGCATATTCTGGGTTGCCTTAGAGTCTATGCAATTCCAATTACTTCATTACTATTGGTTCTCTGCATTTTCATTTTCACTTTTAGGCAAACTAATTTTCTTTCCTAAAGAAATGATCTACTAATACAGAATATCATTCAGATACCCAGAAATACTCTGTATATATTCATGGTTTCCAAAAGATATATAGTATAGCTAGAAGAAGATAAGTACACTTGACAATTTATGAGAAAACACAAAATAGCCATTTAAATTTGTTACTACTGTACTAACATTGCTAAATATTTGCTAAAAATTGAACTGTCTTCTCCAACATGCTACTACTGTTTGCTTTCCTTCAGACTCGCTTTGACTCATGGATAATCAGGTGTCATTTCGTGTGGAAGGAAGTAGTGTAATGATTTCAAATGATACAGGGAGGAAAATACTATCCGTGTAACTTGCTGGAAAATGGATTCCAGGGCACACATCATTCATAAACAAGACTTTAAATATGATTACAGCCTGGCTACAGAATGCAGAAAGAGAATTACTTAATAGCCATTTTTAGCTTCTATATAGTGGCTTCCAGTATGTTTGCCAAGAACTCTGTCAATTTTTTCAAATTGAAAACAATTTTGTGCTTCCTGAAACTATTGCAGAGCAACCAAATAGAATTCAATTAGTGGGCTCTATTGAAGAGAGATGCTGAGCAAACTTTTAATATAGACTGGTAATATTTTGAAATTATAATAATTACTCAATTTAATATTCAATTATACTTGTCAAAAATATCAAAAGTTAAAAAGTCCAGAGTTCTTCTTTGAGTGATTAACTAACCATCTGTATATCAGATAAACAGATATCCTACAAAATATACAACTCTTGGCATTAGAAATACAGTTTTGGAAAGGAAAGCTATGGACCATAACAGGACACCAAGTGCACTTCTTAGAAGAGATGAAAAGAGAGGAAATTGTATTGCAATGGCCTAAAATGCTGGCAATGAGGAGGAGCCTCAAGCCCTTAAATTCCAAAGATGTTTCTTTGCATGAAATTGCCTTTGACTTCTGCTGTAGAGGCTTAAAAGGATTGGGGAATACTTATCACTAGATGAGGACATCCAAAAGAGATCCTTTCCTCTTACTTTTAGGGAAGGCACAAGCTGGTCATGTGATTCATATAACAGACTGTATATCTGGGACCCAGAAAAGTAGAGGTGTGCCAATGTGGGTGAAAAAGCAAGCAAAATTAATTATATGCATATTCTATAAATCATGATCCAGCTTCTACATTTTTGAATAGTCAGCAACATGTTAAAAAAGAAATGGAATATGTTTAAGGTTTCCACCATGAATAATTAGAGGAGATGGGAAAACTTCAGGGTCGGATCTATGTCTCAAAGTCAACGGCAGTCTTTCTATTGACTTGTATGACAGTTCAACCTGGCCTGGAGTTATGGCTAGAGTTCGGAAACATGTTTGTAAAAAAATCATCTGCAAAGTGATTTCTAAAGCAAACCACCCCAGATGAGTTCTACTAGTTTGCCTCAAAAGCACTCCAAAGGAATTAATCTGCAGTAGAACAGATAACGTGTAGTCACCCTAACTTGTCAAGTGAGCCACTTTTTAATGTTCATATAAAGCCAGACATTCTGTGCTATTCTTCCCTAATGCTTACATCAGATACGAATATTAAAAAAGACAGCATGTAAAAAACATAAGCACCTGTGAGATGACACATCAGTATCTAAAAGACAGATAACAACTGGAGCATTTTAATTACAAGGAAATGCTGTGGAAATAAAAATACAAGTTATATACATGTATAATTTTATATTTATTTTAAACAGCTAGACACATCTTAACATGTTGTATTTTGGGGGACCTGGTGGTGAGAGCTTACTAGAAATGTTACTGGAAAGCCAGCAGTTCTTTGACTTGCACACAGAAAAAGCTTGATTCTCCATCATTGTGATTCCGTCACTATGAGGGGCACTAATAACTGTAAGAGTGAAATCTAACAGGAATTGTTAAATTTTGAAATGATGTCACCTGGTGCATGTGCAAAGACACAAAATCTCTGATGTTTTTTCTTCCTGTAATGCACCTTCATATATATATAGTTTGGAACATAACAGCCACAGAGATGAGCTCAAATCACAAAATTCAAATTACAATTCAGATTTTCAGCAGCTAAAATTGACTCATCTCTGTCCTATGACAGTTGTTAAGAAATGGAAAGAACAGCACAGTCCACACTGATGGTCACTACCACAGATTTTGTTAGGGGTAGCTAGTTCTTACAAATTGGAGGTAAACTTATAAATGGTACCTTCGTGGCTGTTGAACAGCTTATTGATAAGCTGGGATCATCCACAACATAAGATAGACCCTACATGGCAATAGGGTCAAAGGAAAAAAAAAACAAACACAAGGACAAAAGTAGATTATTTTAGTAATCTCCAACACGAAGTCATTAAATATACAACCATTAAATTCAATATAATTATTCTTCCTGTAGCTAACTTCCTGAGAAATAATAAACAGGAAGTGATGTCAGAAAAGTAATGTTTAATGTTATAAAACTAGACATTAACTGGCCAGAATTGTCTATGTGAACAAGACTGAAGCTTGTAACAGTTACGGGATCATAAATTATATCTTAATTTAACAGTCATAATTACTATGTAGTTTTTTAGATATTACCCAGTAAAAAGAAGACTGAATATGTGATTATCAGCCTTTGTAACTGCTTGGAAGTGTTTAATCAATACAGATATATATTGTTGTTTATGAATTATCTAGCCAATTCCTAGAAAGGGGTTTGATGCTTGAGCTGAAGCCAAGAAAAAACTCTGTTCCTCTGTACTTTTGTGTAAGGACAACATTTCAGACTAAGATGCTGAGGGTTTTTCTCTTGCTGTCACTCAAATTAAAGTTGTGCTTGCATTGCAGGACATATCCAGCATCTCACAGGATTGGTTCTGAGGATCCAACTATTCAGCCATTCCTCGGGCAAAAGCTTGGATTGACTGAACTGAGAGATTTACATGAGTAAGGACTGCAAGACTGTACTGCAGAAAAGAGTGTAAATGTGCACATACAAGAATAACTTTGTGTGTTTATAGATATATAAAAAAATCAGATCCTCAGCTGGTGTAAGTTGGGCTTTCCTGAAGTCGGTGTCCTCACACCCAGCAGAGAATCTGACCAAATATTTTGACAAATTATTAGGTATATTGCATGTAAATAAAATATAAAAGTTTAAATATAAACACAATCTATAGTAGCCCTTGATCCTGGTTAATGACTGCAATGTGACTGATCATTAATTAGAAGAAAGAAGCCACTGCAACCCCCCATATTTATATTATAGTTTATGGGAAAACATTGTTTCCTTTTTCTTACCGTGGTTTTTTCCAGACAATGGAGCAGGTGGTGATGCTGTGTTTCAAAGCAAGAGCCGGATTTGCTAACAAAGGCCTGTTCTTCACTGGAGAACTGTTAATACATAGAATTCCGTATTACTCGTATTTGTGAACAAGAAGTCCTTTATCCAAAAGTTTGGTCAGAACGGAACTGGGCTCTATCCTGCGACATATCTGCAGAGCTTTATCAGTGTAAACCATCATAGTGGGCATATCTGCACGTGCATTTATGCTGGTTTAAATTTACTGCGCAGTAAATGGGAATAGGCTGGAATCTACACATGCAGGCATTAAAGCTCACTGACACTGTGCGTGAACTGACTGACTTGGAACTAAAGTTAGTCCTATGTTAGTCCACACACACAGTATTACTGTGCAGTAAGGCATCTATATGTGTGTTAACGTACAGTAACTTAATCAGGTGTAAATTCAGGTGTAAATGTGCTTCAACATGGTTACTGTTTTTTTCAACATGGAGGATTTGTTTTTTTCCAACATGGTACATACCTGCCATTCCTTAATGCCACTGTTTGTGTCCTGCACAATAACTGTAAGGCCAGGCAGGAAGTCTTAAGCAAGGCTTAGGCAGAGGCGGCACAGCATGCCAACAAAACAGTGACCACTGCCTGCTAGAATTCACCATTCAGCGCAAGGTGGCAAAGGCAAGTGCAAGGTGGCAAAGGCAAGCAGTCAGGTGGTGGCCCTAGATTTTAGGAGGGCAAACTTCAACGAGCTAAGGAGGATAGTTGGAGAAGCGCTGAAGACTCAGAGGGGAGGGGAGCTGGGTGTTCAAGGGAAGCGGTCGCTCCTTAAGGAGACGATCCTCCAAGCCCAGAGGAAGGTAATCCCCAGGAGGGTCAAAGGGGGCAGGAGAGCATATAAGCCTCCATGGCTCACTAAAAACATCCAGGAATGTCTCCTTGCCAAAAAGGAGGCTTACTCCCAATGGAAAGGAGGGGTCATCACTAAGGAGAACTATTCTACAGTTGCTCGGGGATGTAGGGGGATGGTTAGGAAGGCCAAGGCAGAGATGGAACAGGGGCTGGCTTCCCGGATTAAGGACAACAAGAAGTCCTTTTTTAAATACACAGGGAGTAGAAAGAAGGCCCCAGGAAATGTGGGGCCCTTGCAGGACAAG